AATAACAACAACAACAACAAGAAGAAGAACAAAATGTTACACAAAAAAAGAAATTAAATTAAAATTATAAAACACAAAATAAAAAAAAAAAAAAATAAAAAACTGATCGAAACGAGCAAGTAAAAGAATAGTCGAGCGATCGATCGATTATAATAATCGATTGTTAACAACAAAGCAGGCAATTGTTTATAAACTAATTAAGCACTCGAGCTCGTTTAGTCGTGGTAAGTATAGATAATATAATAGTTCAACTAATAGAGTTTTAAACAAAAATCAACAAAGAGTATTATATATATATGTATGTTTTTATATATATATATATATATATATTAAAGGTATATAGATAGAAAAGAGACAGAAGATATAGAGAGGCAGGTAGATTATAGGTGAGGTAGAAGTGACGTGATTACCGATGCACACAACACGCGCTATTGCTCACCAATTGGGCGCAGTACGGCACCTGCAAGGATACCCATCGTTAGGCTATCAGGTTAGTCATCACGGACAAAGAAGGTTTTGTGGGATTAATTAATTTTACAGCAATGATAATGTTGTTAACGGGCATAATACACAAAATTTGTCAAATTAGATTTTTTTTTTTTTCTAATTTTTTCTTTTTTTTTTTTTCCATCATTATATTATTATATTCATTTCATTCATTAGTACGATCATTTGTTTTTTATATTAATATCTTTTTTCACCAATCTTCGTTCATCGTCGAAGGTACTCGCATCATTTCTTCCTATCGATCGTTTAATCTCCTATTTTTATTCCATTTCTTTACGATACACGATATCAAAAAAAAAAAAAGAAAAATAAGGAAATGATCAATTTCCATTTCGAACGATAAAGAAAATATTTTTCCAATGGATTTTCTTAATTTACGTAAGACAAATTGTATTGCATTGCGCGCAGATTAGTGAATCGATACGAATTACTGATGGAGGACCATCGAGATAAGTTTCACAAGGTCATGCTTGAAACGGTCGATCGCTAGAAAAAAAAAAAAAAAAAAAAAAAACAAAAAAAAAAAAGAAAGGGTCGGGTCCTTTTTCGATTAATAATCAGGCAGGAAGAAAAAGATTCGCTAAGATGATCCATGCAGGGCCGACCCCGAAGCACGCGAGATCGTGAGATTTTCGGCTAAATCTTCGTGCGTCTGTAGGACGTGTACGAATGACTACTATTAATCGTATCGTTAATCACATTTATCCAAAATCTAAACGCAAGTAACATCATTCGTTAATTTTCATTATTTTTTTTTCGATTGTTCTTATTAATTTATAAATTAGATTTTATAAACTTTTTCTTTTTTGTTTTTTTGTTTTCGAAAATGTAAAAATGTTCACCCATCGTTGTCGTCGTCATCGTACAAGACCAGAACACACGCTTGAAGATGATAAAAGCCTCGAATATTCAAAAAAATAATAAGCGAGCGAGCGAACGAACGAATTAATTTTCAAAATTATTAGTAATTGACATTAACTTTTTATTTATACACAATTCGATCGTGTAGTTATCGATCGAGATATTATTATTCGCGCATACGTTAACCGTGTTCGTTCGTTAATATGATTACTTTWTTTTTTTTTAGGGGGGGGGGGGAGGATTTAAACGAACGAACACTGCCACGTATACGAGACGCGGCAACGTAAAATGTATCAAAAGAAAAAAAAAGAAAAAAAAAAAGGTATCCATAGATAAAAAAAGGCAAAAAAATGAAATATTCAAGAATTCTGTAAGCTTCAAAAATTTTCATCACCGTATTTGCGTACATATTTTTTGTTTTTTTTTTTTGCGGTTTCGTAATTACGGCAAATAATCATTTTTACAGCGATAAAAATAATAATCCATATGAATTATTAATAATAATAATAATAATAATAATAATAATAATAATAATGATGCAGCCGAGAATATTATAACATAACAAATATAATGGCGCGACGAAAAAGGTGGGCCCCACACGCCACGAGAAGAGATTATTATTAATTTATAATTCTTTTTAATTTTAATTATTATTCATTATATACTATACTACTTATCACACACTTACGAAATATTATTTTTTCTTATTTTTATATGTCTTAATAATTTCGTTTCTTCTCTCGGCGTTACATAATAAACAAAAAAAATATCAAGATCATGTCAGCTTATATAGCTCTGCTAACTCGAGTCGCGTTATACACATCGCAAAGAAAAAAAAAAAAAATAGTAAAAAATTAGTAAATGGCATAACGAAGGCTAATCGTAAGAGCAAAAAAAAGATAGAGAGATAGAAAGAGAGAGAGAGAGAAATAGAGAGAGAGAGAGAGAGAGAAAGAGAGAGAGAAAAGAGAGAGACAAGAAGATTAGTCAAGTACGTCTCTTGCGTTATACGAGGACTATACTACTGACGATAATTAATTAATTAATTGATTGATTGAATGATTGATTGATTTAAGAAAAATTTGTAAAAAAAAGAAAAAAAAGAATCTGTGATAGAAATAGAAAGAAAAAGAGCGAGATAGAAATATTTTGACATAGATATAAAGAAAGAGAGGGAAAGAACGAGAAAACGATGAGGTTAATGATTATGCGTGTGTGTTTGTATATGTGTGTGTGAGAGAATATATATATGTACACGTGGCGGAGATGAGAAGTTTCGATTAAAAAAATTCATTATAATTAGACAATAATTAATTATATTATCAGCGTACTGCGAATATTTATACAACTGCATATTTTCAGGAATATTTTTTTTACCCCCACGATTGGATGAATGCTGAACTTTAATTAATGATGATACTTTCATGGGTAAGACTTCTTATCCTTAACTGATCATCCATAATTAACAAATGTATAATATTTTGAAATAATTGAGATAAAATTTTATTATTTCGAAAGATAGATAAGATAATTATACAAATTTCGTTAAAAATGAATTGATTTTTTCTAACACAAACGATACGATTTTATCGTAATACAAGTTATCTTTAAAAGACTGCACGCATATAGCATAATGTTTTCGTGGTATCGTTTACATATCATTTACATATGTGAATGCATTTTCATTGCATAAAAATCCGCAGTTTATTAAAATTATGTTATGTCTATCTCCGTTTGCGTATACCGAAATACGAAGCTGTTGCTACTGCAAATAATCAAAGTTTCCTATTTTTTTTTTTTTTAGCACACTGAAAGCACAAATCTAATCTAACGATATGTAAGTACGAGGAAAAGAAATGTTTAACTTTTTCTTAATTCGTATAATATCAACGAAAAAAAAAAAAAAAAGGAAAGAAGCTGCATAAATGATATTTTGATCGTACCGATCCGCCACGTAAATATACATATATACATATGTATCGTGTAAATATTATAATAAGTGTATTATGGCGATGAATGCTTGGCGCACAGCAACTTGTCATACACCGTTCACATATTATACGCATAGAAAAGTTATATGGCAGTTTTATGCGTATATGAATGTTTACATTGCAGCGAGCGTAAATGAAATAGGCTGATTAAAGAACCCACGATTAAATCGATCGAAGCGATGTGACATTTCTTTTTTTTTTGTTTTTCATTTACTGACCTTGACGCTCTTGAATTCGAAAGAGACAGAGATAGAAAGAGATAAAGATAGAAAGAGAGAGTGAGATAGCAAGAGACAGATAGAGAGAGAGAGAGAGAGACAGAAAGAGAGAGGAGAAGGATCGAGTAACGAGATGATGAGAAAGAAAGAGAAAAAATAGATAGAAAGAGATAGATTAAGATGAAAGATAGATTACCGGGTGTAAGACGATTGAATTCAATTGTATGTAAATTGAAAAAAACGCTCATTCATATTTATATTCAATGAAAGATGTCGCGAGGATAGAGAGAGAGAGAGAGATAGAAAGAGATAGAGATAAAGAGAGAGAGAGAGAGAGAGAGAGAGAGAGAGAGAGAGAGTGTGTGTCCTCGAATGAAAATCTTCTCCTCTCTCGATATAATTATTAATTTAACGACGGCCCCTCCCGCCCCGTCCCGCCCCGCCACGCCCCTAAATCCTAGCCTTTGTTTGATTGTTCAATTCTCGCACGGGAAAAGGACCGACGATCGTATATTTCATTCCTCGGAGAGTTGATGATCGTGGCTGAGATCCTGTTCCTCCTCCTTACCTTGCACTCGCACGTGGTGCATTTGTCATGGGGATCCTGCCAAGAGCTGCCACTGTCGTGTATAATGCCTGCGTAGCTGCACGGCCTTGGATGATTAGGACTCGACAAGGATGTACCGTTCAAGGCAACTTCGCGCGCGCAAGGATCGTCCTCGCAACGAGGACAACAGTCGCCATCTTCGGTAATCGGATTCGAACAGGTAATCGGTGGACACTCCATTTGCCAACAATCGATCTCGCCGTACTGAAATAAAAGAAAAATTGAAATTGACAAGATTATAATATATCGTTAGATATTACACAGTTAACAAGTAGTGTATAATATATTGTATGTGTGTCTTTGTATAATCTTCAAAATGAATTATATATGTAAATTTGATTATTTTGTTCAAGTTATTATTGCATTACCAGACACTCGCAAGTCTGACATTGGTATATCCAACGTTCCCCGCTCCTAAAGATCAAATGATGTAATTCCTGATGTCTACAGGATGCCGCAGGATCGCATTGCGGACAACATTTGTCTTTGCGACTACCAGGTACATTGCAATCGCAAGTTGGATCTCGGCAAGTAATAACACCGTCGTTGCAAGTGCAACGTCTGCAAGGATTGCCTGCTGGTGCCAAGGTATCACCGTTAGCCACTTCTCTATTCTCAAACATACAACCTAAGGAAGATAATTTAATTTTTATAGAATGAATTTCATATCGAAAATACTACTATAATATTTATCAATTTATTAGGACTCACTAAGTCTACATTCTTTGTCGGTGTCGTTATCCTCCCTTGGACAGGCACACGCATAACCACCCTCGGTGTTGATGCATTTTGCTGTCGGATGACACGTATGACTTCTCTCGATAGTTTCGTCGTTGCATTCATCGATATCGAGACATTGAGTACCCTGGGTGCTGTCGTGCAGAGCACTTCTGTATCCAGGTTTACAACGACAATAATACCAACCGGGCATATTGAAACAGCTAGACGATTCGTGACATCTGTGAAGATCGCTGGCACACTCGTCCAAGTCGAGTTCGCAGCTGTTACCGATGTATCCTCTTCGGCAAGAACAACGACCAGGTGCAACGCATTCTCCACCGTTTTGGCAAGTCTGATTGCAAATTGCTACGAAAGTCAGAATACAGGAATCATCAAATAATGTGTTCTTTATCTTTCTTTTTCTTATTTCTTTTTTTTCTTTTTTTTTTCTTTTTTTATTCAACAGAAAGATGAAAAAGATACTTTACGTTTACACGTGTGCCCATCGCCGGCATAACCGTCCTCGCAAACGCAGTAATAACTGCCGGCAGTGTTAACGCAGGTAGCGTGTTCGTCGCACGTGTGATGTCCTGTAACGCATTCGTCCAATTCGGCACAATTGAACTTGTCGACTCTGTGATAACCGGGAAGACATTCGCACGTATAAGAGCCGATCACGTTGACGCATCTGGTATTGGCGTTGCAATGATGACCTTCCGAACCACCTTGTTGCTTACACTCGTCCACGTCTAATAATTAAGGTAAACGAAGGTACAACTACTAACTTATGATTAACTTCATTATTCTTATTTTACCTCGTCTCGATATTATATTAATTCAAGGTCCGTATCTCGTTTATAATACGAGTCTAGACGATGATTCATCTATCTTTGTGTTTATGCGTGTGCAATTTTTTTCTTTTTCCATTGCCCAAGGCATTAACCCCTCTTCGATTTCCGTCTAACACCCACGCGTTCGTGACTTTCTCGTTGTTGATACGTATATAATAGATATTAGTATTCATGATATGTATTTTACAAAAGTATTAGGAAATGATAGGTGTTATTATTCATCGAATGGATCTTCATGCAAAATGTGTGTAATTGTTATTCGCAAGATTGTCGAACATTAGTAAATCGTTAGAACGTTATAATAGAAATGGGGTTAATGTGATTTATATACATTTATATGTATTATATATATATATCGACGCATTATTTCTGCTCGATTTGACATGCGAGTAAGTTAGAGAGAAGCGTTAGGTACCGTGACAGTTATGACCATCCCCCTGGAAACCGATATCGCAGTGGCAGGCGTAGGTCGTCTGGAGATTCAGGCAGGACGCGTTAGCGTGACACTTGTGGCCCTTCGCGCAGTAGTCCACCCCTGATTATAATTGGATTAGCCAAGGCAGATGAAGAGAGGTGGTTAGAGATTTAATTAGGGGGTTTTGTTTTTATTATTTTTTTTTTTTTTTTAAATGAATGATTGACGTGCGGGAAAGGGGATGGAAAGTTTGTTAATGCTTATCAAATGCTATTCTCAATTGGTCCTAATATTTTTTGTTTTCTGTTTTTTTTTCTGTGAATCGATTCGGACCAAGATTACGAATACGCGCGATTATTTGTTTCTTTTGTGTTTTTTTTTTTTGCATCTGCAATAATTAAACTGTAAAAAAGAGTGATTTCTTAATAAACATATTTTCTTATAGACGATTGTTTTCTACCTGGGCAAAACTTGCAACATTCCTCGGCCACGCTGATTTGTTCACTGGGTGGACAAGGCAGTGGTGGACACCTTGTTTCGGTGTCGAATCTCTGACAGGTAAAACTACCGTCGTAACAATCGCATTCGACGCATTGTTTCGGTGATACCTTTTCCCCGTGATCATAGATAATACCGTGCAGGTAACATTGTTCTGTCGAAAAAAAAAAATACAAAAATGGAATATAAAAATGAATCGAATAGATAAATAATTTTATATTTTTAAACTTACTCAAGCAAATCGAGCAGCACTGTCCCGGAGGAATGACTGGATATTTACAGGGGACGGGAGCACAGGGTGTCGGTCTACACTCGATTTCACCATGAACGCAAGAACATTGTTGGCAACCTTTTTCCCAGGTTGCACCGTCCTCGTGAACGGTACCATTGACTCTGCACGATTTTTGGCACTCGCATTCTTCGACCTTGCTTATTCTGTTCTCTGCAACGGCTAGCTGAAAGGAAGGACGTCGATGAGCGATTCATTGAAAAAGTAAGGGAAGAAAAATAAAATAAAATTATAGGAAAACAAAAGAAAAATAATAACGCGATTTTTCTACAAACCCTTTCTTGCAAGTTTTTGTAATCGATCATAAGCCTCTCGACGGTATTCTGAAGTAGAGAAAATTGTCCGCAGGTAGGGCAAGCAGAATCGAGTCTAGGACATTGCGAGAGATATCCATGGGGTCCTGGTATCAGCATGACGTCCTGCAAAGCACCCTGTGCCGCGAAAATCGCACAGAATAGCTCTCTCAGTCGAGTGATGACAAAATAGATCTTACAAATATTAATTACAACATTGTCGTAATTGACCCAAAAAGATAATTCGATTTTATCGTATAATTGGTTCTTTTTTCTTCTTTCAAAACAAAACAAAATTTCCCCCCATGTGATTTACCTTGAATAGAAAATGCCTAGCATTTCTTTGTCCAACCCAAAGTTGTAATTGTGGTTGAGTGAAATTCGTGTCCGGTGGGCCTGTTATGATTAATCGCCTGTAGATTGAATGACAGTCGACTAGTAGCTCGACCTGCGAGCCACTTATACTCATGGCAACCCTATGCCAGGCTCCGTCAGCCAAACGAAAAGGAAATGCCTCGACGTGGACATTACCGTCTAAGCGTGATACATAATGTAATCGAAGTTCATCTTTGCGTCCGCTGCTCTGCAGCTCCAAATATCTGTCAAAAAAGTAACAAAGAAATTGTTCAAACGTCTAACACACTTCATCACATATATATTTCCTTTATCTATTTATTTATTTATTTATTTATTTATTTATTTATTTATTTATTTAATATTTTAGTGAGATCCTAGAGCCTAAGCTCCCTAAAGACCATTAATTACAGTATAGTACAATATAATATATAACAAAACGGAAATTAAAATTATGTAATTATTATTAAAAAGAAAATAGTATATAAAAGTATACTGGTTTTTAATAGTAGTATAGTAGTATTGGCTCAAAGTAAAAAACATATGATTAAAATCAAACAAAGAAAACATTTATTTAAATTAAATCATAAATTCACAAAACACGCTGAATGTCTCTATCAATAAAATAAGTGTAACATCAAATCTAAATTCTTTATAGTCACTTATAGTTACGATATCTTCCGGAAATTGATTCCAAATACGAACAGTCGTAACCAAAAATGATTTTTCGTAAATCCTGGTTCTTGCATAAGGTAAACATAATACATCTAACTGTCTGTCAACACGACCATGTACAGAAATAAGAATACTAATGTTCGATCTTAGTATTTATCATGTATGAAAATAAATGTAAAAACGAAAGGGAGATGAACGAGATGTTTAAATAAGACAAACGTTGAGTTTATTGTGTCAAGAAGTACTATTAAAAATCGCCAGGATCTATTACACAAATTGTATCGAATCAACAGTCACGTTTCGGTTGGTGGTCGAGTGGTCCGCGATGGTTGCTTGCCTAGATCCGCAAGTGGACCATTTTAATTGCCACGTGATGCCTACACGCGTGACACCTACGTGTCCAATTTGTGTCAGTCCAGGTCAAAACGACTAGACACTACTACTACCTGATACTATTCGCGTGCCAACACTACCTGACTACAACTACTTTGGGGTTAAGTGTTTTTTCAAGTGGCACGGATCAACAATTGACACAGTAACTTTTTTCGAAGTTACTTCCTCCTGTCTTTTAAATATTATTCTTCTTCTTCTTATTATTATTATAATGATTTTCTTTATGATTAGAATCGTAAACGTTAGTTTGATAATACTCTGATATAACAATGAATCCAATAGAAAATTAATTAGACTTTTGAATATATGATATATTATCTTCGAAATTGATATTAAGGAAAATGTAGGATTTAGACGTAAAGTTCTTATACCTATTGTTCCCGTGTGAAAAGGCGACGATCGTCCCGGAATTGGCCTCCTCCTGGCGTAATGCAGTAGCTATAGTAAATTCCGGAACCCGCCGGAGTAGTGCAGCCACTCGTTTGAAACTTGCCTCGCTGAGTCGGAGCTCTCTTTCATCGCCTGTAAGTAGTAGTAATGCACGATTATTTCTCAGACATAATCTTCATTCTTCATAATCAATTGATCTCTCCAATTTCCTACTTTCTACAAATTATTATGAAGAAATTATTATTTCATTTATATATAATACAAAGGAAAAACCTATCTCGTTTCATTCCTATTACGATATTTTCCTGAATGAAGATTAACAAAAAAAAAAAAAAATAATATACCAAGAAATATTTCAACCGGTTAACACGCGATACACCGATTTATAATATTCCATTAGAGAGAAACTAGAGATAAATTATTATTAATACAACCAAACCACCCTTGTGCTAAATCGTGAACCCTTTCAAATTATACGAGACAAATTTAACATTGTCAAAACTTTCTCTATTAAAAAAAGCGAACAAAAGTATCGTACTGCGACCGAAAATTCGAAAAGTTTGCAGAAACCTTTCGCAAAATGTGCTGACTGAGAGTTCTGACCCATCGTTGGCTATCTCAAATGAAAGTTTCCTAACTACGATGAATGAGAAAGGGTAAAGAAGAGATATCCTTTTCGCAAAATAAATTACGAATCTCTTCCCCCTTCTACCTCCACCTCTCTCTCTCTATCTCTATCTCTTGTGTACCGTGATGTAGGCCATGGCAAATTTTTGTTAGCTCGATGGATTCGACCTAGGAACGCGAGATTCGTGCTAGTTCAGTTACGTAATCGTATTTTACCAACGGAGTAAATTCAATCCCAATTTCGGTCTAGTCCAGACTACATTTTTGCGGGCCCGAATGGATAATATCTTTATCATTTTATTCTATTTATCTCAAACTATTCATCTCTCTCTCTCTCTCTCATTTTCCGTAATAATGAAAACGTACAAGTTTTCCTATAATCGCGGATCGCAAAAGAAGAAGGATAATAAAACTCGATTGAACTTGCTGATAACGTCGAAACACGTTTCCAACCAGCTTGGTATTTCAACGTGAAGTTAAATCGAATCAGCATTAAAAAAAGCTTACGGTGGTTTGGGGGAGGAAAAAAGAATAAAAAGAACACGCGACACGATTTACAAGTKTTTTTTTTTTTTTTTTACGATTGACGAGTTGAATCGATCTCGTGTGAGTAGTTTATTTTTTTTTTTTTCTATCGATAACCTAGTTTTCCAATTGAGATTATGTTAGATAAAATCGATGATAAACGAAATGATAATATATTATATATATATATCGTATAATTTATGATTGTAATTTTGTAAAAGATTTTGTTCCGAGTTCATTCGAGTAGAACGAAAATGGTATCTTCTCCTTTTCGCGAATAGGCTAATAAATTTCACCTATTTCTCTTGGTTGCATACTTCATCGGCCATTAAGTGGTACGACGAGAGCTCCTTTTACACGTTCGATGTCTCGATTACCTTCGTCCGGTCGGTTACCTTCTCTCTACGGTCATTAAAAGCCACGCGTGTAACGTGTTCCGTGCAAACGATCGGAACTATGACAAACGCATGCGGTAGACGACAAAAAAAACGAGAGAGAGAGAGAGAGAAAAAGAACAAAAATAATAAGTAAAGAAAGAAAGAGAGAGGGAAGGGTAGGCACGTGCGTATCCACCTACGCAGAGACATGTATATACAATCGGTGATAAAATTGTATAAACACTTGTTCGAAGGGTTTTAAATTAGCATCGGTTTAGCGTGGATATTATTTATTAAGGTGTGTATCTCTTATAAAATAATATATTTTGTTGATATATAAATTTTTAATTCTTTCAAATGTTCAACGAAAATGTATCGGATATTTTTCAAGGGATAGGTAAAGTGAATAATTCGTTGGAATATAAATTCAATATTTTTGATTCAATATTTTAGATTTGTCAAAATAGTTAATTTTCTAATATATTATTCATAGTTAAACTGACTTTATAATATTTTACACATATACAAATAGAGTTACTTATACGTAGAAATAAAAAAGAAGAAAAAAAGAAAAAGTTCGAGGATAGGGAAAAAAAAGGTGGGCAAGCCAACACAGGCTTCTCGTATCGAAAAGCTAACGTGCTCGTGTTTCAGATGCACCGCCGGTACGCATAAAGTAACATTACACCTTGCTCGGTAATAAAGCGTCGATTCCTTACGAAGGGCCTGTTTTCTTCCATACTCTTTACCACCCTTAAAGGGACTATAACGAACGAACGGAACATGCCTGGTCAGGCACGAACCAGACCAGGTAATTACTTTACTCCACGCTTAATTATAATTTAATACGAAATACTGCCATGTATATGGGGTGTGAGAGACTGAGACGGAAGGGTAGTATATATATACCCTAATTTTTTCCCCTTTCTCTCATACTCGTCTCGAAACATAATCGTTACGCTCGAATTGGCACGCATGCTGCGTTTCCGTTCTCAATTTCATTCATCGAGTATTCAAATTTCTCCTTCTTCTTCTTTTTCTGTTTTTTTTTTTTTACACTTAATTAACACTTCTCGATAAGAGGATATTAAATATACTTAATTACTGTTTCACGATTAACACCTGTCGAATAAATAACACACAAAATATTGTCTCTTTTCGTTTATACACGTGAAAGAAATCTTTATTGCAACAATTCGATGGTGAGAGGGGGGGAGAGTGGAGGGTGGTTAAAAGTTTGAACAGGCTCCTTTACTTTTCTTCCATACTTTTCAATTGTAAACAGACCACCACCGATGATGGTGGCTATTGTTCGAGAAGAATATCTAGATATCGATCTTATAGAAGGAAAAAAGAAAAGAGAGGAAAGTATCAAAGGAAAACAACAACAGTTGTCTCATGGACGATCAAACGAGATCAGAAAACCCATTTCCCCGTTTGTAGTAATACAAAAGGGCTCACGAATTGATGCTCCCGGCTTGGGGACCCTCAAAACCAACAGATAATAATACGCACACCTTATTCTACTCTACTCTACTACCATTGGCTACCACCCTTCAATCCTCTTCCTCGTTTTCTCTTCTCTTCTTTTCTTTTATTTTATTTTCTTTCTAATTCAGTCAGAGTGAAAATCTTATTTCCCCGTACGCTGGGAAAACTTTGACACGTGTCCCTTGAAAAACGATTTTTCTTTCTTTCTCTTTCTCTTTCATCATTGTGAATCCTACACACACGAATGAAAACCCTCCCCTCCCCCTCTGTACCCAACCACCAAACCCCAAACACTCCCTTTTATTTCCACGAGAAAAACGGGATTTTGGTGTTAAGCTCCAGCAAATTGACACAGGACGATGTGTCGACCCAGACGAGTAAAATTCTTCTCTCCTCTTTCTCTCCTACGTTTTTCTCTTCCATTTTCTCCCATTAAATCCCTTCCCCGAAAATGTTGGAAAGTGAGACGGACAGTTTTCTCTCTCTTTCTCTCTCTCTCTCTCTCTCTCTTTCACTCAATGTCCGTGACCCTAACGTCGAGTTAATCGAATTGTTCTGATATGCCATTAAGAAGTTTTCTCTTTACCCTTCGAATCTGTAAACGAAATTTACGATTCTTTTATTCTATTTCTCATATTCTCGAGCCTTTTTCCATTTATTTATTTATTTATTTATTTATTTAGTTTAAGCTTAAATACGATGGTACTTGAAAAAAGAAAAAAAGAACATTTCATCAAAGTATAACAAAAGTTTACATTAATTATTTGTGAAGTTAAAAGTACGTGCTTGTGTTTAAAAGAAAAAAAAAAAAAAAAGATGTAAAAAAAGATTGTGGAAAAGAAATTGTTCGGTGTAACTTTTATGAATGAAACCTTTCGTTTATTTGTCCATTCATTCATTTATTTATTTATTTATTTATTTGTTTGTTTGTTTATTTATTTATTTATCTGGAGTACATACTTGTGAGAAAAATTGTATTCAAGAGTGTGATAAAGGTATTATAAAAGTAATCTATTTTTTTTCGCGGAAGGAAATCATGAGTTTGTGTAGAAAAGGGATATATCCTAACAATAAGATTTGATCCGAAACGTAATATAGAAATTTCTTTAGGCCCTTTTTCCTATACAAATACAATACATCCCTAAGAATGAATTCGTACGATAAGATTTTATCGTTGCTTTTTCGAGAACGTTGCACTGACCCTTTTGAAACGTCAACATATTGTTGATTTCTACTATTTTTTCGATTAAAATAAAGATTAAAAAAGAAGATGAAGAAAATGTGAATGTAAAAAAAAGAAAAAACAACAAAAAAAGCTCATACAACATTGAGTTTTCTTTTTTTCTTTTCTTTTCTTTCTAAAAATTAAATAAAATATTATTCTTAAAATTCGTGTGCACGTACGGAACGATCAATAATGTGTTTTATATGTTTATAAGGTTAATAACCCGTTTGATTTACATACCCCCTATGATTTACTATATTATATACACACAAACTCAAGCATATAAGAACTTATATATTACTCATAGTTATCAGTACGGTGGCCTCCAAACAACGAGACGTCAAAAAGTTCTTTATAAACTGACCTTTCGCAATATCGATTTAACGAGAGAAGTTTAGAAAAGGTTTACGTGATCATTATACTAGTGCTGAATGTTCATGAACAAAATGAAAAAATAAGGGATGAGCTTTTAAACGGAAGTAACTTTATATTACAAATTTTCAAACTCTTCTGACAAATTCACATTCGTTTCAATTAATTCCTCAATTTGCTATCAATTAATTTATTTATACATGTGTGTATGTGTGTTAAGATGAATACGATCGATATAAAATCATTAAAAAAAATTAAACCAAATTTTTGGTGTGCATTTACACACAAGAAATAAAATATATATATATGTATGTGTATTCGCAAGTAGACCAGAGAGGAGATCTCGAAGTTTCCTAACACTCCAGGTGTTCTCTAGCGATCNTTTTATATATATTATATTAATATTTTTTAATCTCTCTGTTCGAACGTAAAATAAATATGTCGGGTAAAAAAGAGCATTAAAAAGGGTTGTAATTTAGGAAAAGTAATCATCCTATCCTTTTGGAAATATTAATTACTCGGAGATACAGTAAACGGGGAAAGATCGTTAGCCCGAGGAATGGCTTTTGCGGTATGCAAATTAAGCTGGTATTTGGAACCCTTCTCTTTTCTTCCACCCCCCCCCCAGCCAACCCTACCTCTTGAAAGAGAAAGATAGAATGTATATTCCTCGTAAAATTCGTTACGCTGTTAGACACATCCCTGAAGGTAATAGCAGAAAGGGGTGTGCTTCGATAAATTATACTCTAAGATTTATATATCCCAACCCATGTGTAAAAAAAGAACGGATAAAGAACGAGTGAGTAAGAGAACAATATTATTATTGCTGTATAAATCAAAATCGCACCCTTCTGCGGTCGATTGTTTTCGATGAAACGAAGGGGGGAAAAAAGAAAAAAAGGAAAATTAATTAATTAATAATATTTTGCAATATTTTATAAGAAAAGATCGAGTGTCATAATCGAATCCTTAGTAACATGATCGACATAATTAATAAATTCTTAATACAGTGTTGTTGAGAGTTTCAAATCATAACGATCGAATATTTAACGAAGTTTAGATGTTTTGTGTTTGGAATATTAATAAAAAGAAAAATGTATGTCTACACAATAAAAAAAAGACGCTTAACGGTAAGATTAAGTTGCTGAAGAAGTCCCAATAAAGGGACGAAACGTTCAACTTAGTTAAATTAAGTTCTACTTCTTTTTATGTCCAAGTTCCCTGTGATTCTGTATTAAGAATTATAATTTTGGACGAGAGAAATAACTAATTAAATAATTAATAAACCTTATAAAAGAAGGAAATGATATTTTTGAAGTGTTTTGTAATGAAAAAAACTTGAGTGATATTATCGAAATATATTAAGGGTTGACTATTGTTCAGAATAAAAAAAAAAAATAAAATTACAAATTTTTCCGCACGAACGAAGGAATAATATTACGCACGAGTGGAGATTAATCGGTGTCCTTTTAATAATGGATAACACGCTATGGGTTTATGGTTACTCACCCTGAAGATAATAAGCTGCCCTCAGTCTAAACAGTCCCTGTACCTGCGTGACACCCTGCCGCGTAGTATTGTGCAGCTGCAGGGCTGCTAATAAGTCTATATCTCCACCAGGATTGTTTCCTGGTTTGGGCCTTGTCATGCCTAGGACACCATTTTCTTCCGTGACACCCACCGAGGACACCGCCGCTTCTTCCTCTTTTTTGTTCGACGTACCGGACACTAAAAACAAATTATTTATTATATTCAACACAACGTTTGAAATAATTGGATAATTAAATTCACATTTTTTGCGTTGGATTATTAAATTTTACGATTTAATATATATAATATACTAATTATATAATAATATAATTAAAATATTTTTCTAAAGAAGATAATAAATTTGAATATGTTTGTTATAGAAAAAAAAATGATAAGCATGGTACTACATAATAAATGAATATTTGACAGATGACACAGATGAATTTATGATAAAGAAATATATAAACCAAAAGAAGAATTTTTAGTTTTGAGCTTATGATAAAGGAAAAGGAATGTTCACCACCGGAAGACAATAGTCTTAAGGGATAAGAAGAAGAAGAAGGGTCATACGACTAGCATAAATCTTTCCGCTGTTGTGAACTTTGTCGAGGACACGCGAGTTTAAAAGAACGACCATATCACCCTATGGAATTCTTAACGATCGCTAACAAATCTAAACGAACTTTTATTACTTCGAAATATTATCGTTTTTCTTTTTCTCATTGTGTTATCGTCAAAAATTATTATTGTATCATTGATTAATAGTTCCTATAAAAAAAAAAAGAAACAATTTTCTCTTATAATTAAATAACATTTTTCATTGACCGACGCGAAAACGTTTTTTCTTTTCGATTAACGAACAATTAAATTAACGATTATATAAAAATGATTAAAATTTATTAAAACAAATCATCAGAAAATATGTTCGAAGTGTATTAAAACGTAAGAGATTGTTTTTTTTAATTTCAATTAAAAAACAAACAAATAATTAATTGCCCATCGTGAACAAAAATTAATTAAAGAGAAGCAATAAGTATATTTTATAAAAATTATTTCTAAATAAAACGTGTGAAAGTTCATCGATCGATGTTTCAATGTTTTTTTCTCGAAATAAAAAAAAAGCTTTGGAGAATTGGCGAATCGTAACAGGAAGAACGTGTCTGTGTTTGTTCTTCTTCCTTTACTTTTTTATTTATTTTTCTCCAAGAAAAATCCATTTCGAACGTGTACAAAGACGAGATAACAGGCCACCATGTTACGTAATAATAATAATAGTGATAATAATTTCAAGTCTCGCATTTCAATTGGAAAATCTTTTTTCCACACCCCCTTTGAAACATACTTTTCTTATTCATCTTATATAATACAATAAAAATGATGAGATATATGCGTGTATATACATATATATGCTTATGTATTTATGCGAATACATACATACATTATTGGAGAATTGCACATTGCCTTTCATAACTCGAAATATTACGACTTGACGGCCGTAAAAGGTAATTCCTATCGCTTGGAACCGCTTTCTATTATATATTACGTTATGGTACATTATATATAAATCCTATTGGTGGGTTGTAAATGTCTCACCCTGTCCTCTGAAGAAACTTCGTTTAGTTCGAAAAGAATTTTGAAAAAAAAAAAAAAAAAAAAAAAAAAAGAAAAGAAACAAAACTCATCCACTTTATTTAAAACGAAACAAATATATCTTCACGACGATCCCGTAATCTTTCCCATCTGATTTTGTTTTTTTTATTTTCGAATCAAAACACTAATTTTCCTTTTCTTTTTTTTTTAAAGAAATCCTTATTCTAATTTGAATATTTTGCATATACAGATATTTCGATTGATTAGATTTTCAATAGTACAAGAAAAAAATTTATAGGAACGAAACGTTTTATAATATAAAAATGAAAATTGTAACTTTGTATTATATATAAATGATCGATTAAGAAATAAATATAATATTTCCGATTGATTTAACGCGTCTCGTAGTTTAATAATTCGAAACAAAAACAATGAAAATAAAAAGAACAAAAATATTTATCCTAATAATTATAGAAAATGATGAAAAACGATTGTGATATGGATAAATATGTAAGAGATACGTATATTATAGTATTTCTGTAAAAAGAAAAGATTTTAACGGAAGCCCTTCAAACCCGAAAGGGGCGGAGTAAGAATAAATAAAATAAATAAAAATAATTATAAAAAATGATAATACAATAAATCAATATTAAATTTCTATAAACATATTTCATATCGTGAAATATGAATGAACAAGAATACGAGTGGTAGTACATTGACATAAAACGTTGGATTGGTAGAAAGGGGAGGAGGGGTCGTTCGTGATGGGCCATTTAAAATGGGGCGGGGAGAGGGAAGAGAGACAGAGGGGTGAAGGGGGTAAAGGATTCGCGAGGAGTGGCTGCTTTCTTGCAATTACGTCACTGTTCAAAGGGAAGCCACTGAAAGTTCCTTCCTCTTTCTTTCATCGTCTTGCTTTTACTTTGTGAAAAGCATCCCTTTTCTCTCTCTCTCTCTCTCTCTCTCTCTTTCTTTCCTTCCTTCAAATTAGTCTCGAGAAACTTTTGCCGTCACTAATCGGACCAAATCGTCCAGCAAATTAATGGCGTCATCAACTAACTCACGTAGGAGACAACTCACTTTTCTTCTGCCAACTCATACCTAACACCTTCTCTCTTTCTCTCTTTGAGCTTTTAAACCCTCTTCGTCTTTCCCCCCCCCACCTCATCTACTCACCCCATAGGCGTATAAATTTTATTTTACGAGAAAATATATCGACTATATTTTATACGAATTTATCTAAATACAATATTTTGTATATATAATATATATAAAGTTAATCGAGTTGGAGTAATTAATTGTGAAAATAATACTAATAATAATTGTATATATCTGTGGAATATATAAAAAATTTATACGAAATTTGTGCATCATCGTAGAAATTGATCAAATTATATAGAATCATTTATTTCTAATAGAAGAATATCGATTCTTATAAAAAAAAATATTCAAGATTCTAAATATATAGTTTCGAGCAAAAAAAAGAAACAAATTGTAATTTTTTTTTTTTTTGAAATAATAATATTACGTTAATCAATGTTTATAGAAAAAAATTGTTCAAATTTGATGTTCGGCCTAGTATAGTTATACTAAGAGGATAAAAAAATCAATAAAATCTTGAAAGGTTCTTCTTAAAAGACGGCGCCAATGGGCGTCGTACACTAACACGTGTTCACGTGTACACGAACATACAATCCTCTATCTAATAAGAGAACCAAAAACTAGAAGAAGAAGAAGAAGAAGAAGAAAACGCAGACGCTCGATCTTATCGTGGATGAAAATGCGTGCTTCGTGTAAGAATATAAATGTGTGTATGTATATCTATGTGGGTGTATATTATGTGTGTGCGTGGGACCGAAACGGTGGCAGACTGCCGGGCGTCGCGACGCTTTCTATCGAACCGTAAGTGGCGTTATCGTCGAATTCATAAAAGAGAAAAAGAGACAGACAGACAGAGAGAGAAAGAGAGAGAGAGATATGCTCGTAACACGTGCCATCTTTTCTAACATTTTCTATCCTTTTCTCTGGTAACAGCAAATGTCGTTTATACGAACGATAGATGGGGTTCGATGAATCTCGCTGGAAATGAAATTTTATATCGAACCCCTCCCACTTCCACCCACCCCTCCGCGTGACAGAATCTCAACAACTTTTTGATCGTACGTCAAATAGTAACCTTTTCCCATCCTTCTATCTGTCTCTCTTCGAACGTGACCAGAAATCAAATTAAATCGAAAGTAAATTTACTAGAGAAGTTAAAAATTTGACATTTGACGATTGAAATCTTTCAACGTGTGTGATCTTGGACAGACTATAATCGAACTTATTATAATATACGTTTCATGAATTTTTAATTGAACATAAGATCAACCAATCGAATATAATATTTTATTTAAAGTTAATAAAAATGTTTGATTTTTGTTTTGAGATTGAAAATATTTCAATCTCCTTTTCGTATTATTTTTTATTTCACAAGAGAATTGTTAATAAATTGCGTAAACGATTTGCACGTTGTCAATGATTTTTATTTATATTTTTTTTTTTGATAATAAAATTCTAGTATATCTTATTGTTTGAAACGTGAAAGGTAAATTTGTAAGGGTATCTTTTTTTGTAAAAGTATTTACAATGAAGGGGAATTTAAGGTATGTACATACATATATTTATGAATTTGTAAACGTTAGCAACCTAATATATTTCTTCAAATGGATTATTATACCGCGTATACACGAGAATGAAAACACGCGAGAAACGTAGAGAAATATTTCGGTCGAACGAAATAATGGAAAACAACAACGGGAAGGGAAAAAATAAAAAATATCAAAAAGAAAAAGAAGAAGAAGAAGAAGAAGAAGATGATGATGAAGGAGAAACGATAAAACGAAAGGAAATAAACATTTATGTCTATGTCACACGCACGATAGATAGTATGTTATAAAATTTGAGTAGGACGAAAATGGTACGAAAGTAATATAACACAAGCGTATCAAATATTATAAATTTTGTCGCGCTTTATCACGAATGAAATGTAATATAAACGAACGTGGATACATTTAACGAATCAAATAATTGGTCGTTTTTTTAATAGTAACGATGTTTGTACGATAAAAAAAAATGGAAGAAGAAAAAATAAAAAAATATCGATGTAGTTAAGATTAATGTTACGCGTTTAATAAGGTCTACTTTAATCTCATTTTTATTAAAATATTAATGTTTTCATAGCATAAAAGAAGAAAACAAATGTACGATAATATATTAATCGTGTGTGTGTATAAAAAATTTATTTAGAACATTAATATAACTGGCTATTAAATGAACCTTAACGAAAGTAATATAATATATTGTCGATGGAATAATATTGATGAAAATAATTTAATAAATGAATGATTTATAAAAATTATAAGTTATATTGAGTTAGATTAAATTACGAGCTGAGATAAAAGAAAAACAATTTGAATTTATCCGAAATATTTTTATTTGAAATAAATATAAATTTGATCGAAACTTATTATATCAAAATTCCTTTATTATTCAAATAATAATAATAAAATATTTCGTTTTATTCTAATAAATTCGTATTACTCGTTAATTATTATTACCCTTTGTGA